GGTCCCCACATCGGACCATGTTGGAGGAGGCGGAGTGCCGTCCCAGCACTGAGGGACATCGGCACAGGAATCATGTGGGTATATAAAAGTTTCTAACTCTTTCTGTGCTAGAAGGGGGCCGCGAGAGAGGGGGTACCCGAGGATTTGTATTTCCCACTCTATAGAATCTCTTTAAGTAAATGAGCCTGTGTTATGACTCCTCTCCGTATTGTGTTATCTACTTCTCCCCCCTTCTCTTACTTGTTCACTGCATACTTTGTAAAATTCAGTCTTTCAAAACTAAATACATTAATTTAAAAAAAAAAAATACTTCTTGCCTTTACTCCCTCAATTGTGCCACTGTGTATCTGTCTTTCATGCAGGCTGGTGACTTTTGTGTCCTCTTTGACTCTGACCTTGCTTTTTCTCCCAGTATCTGGTAAATTTGTAAATTTTGTCTCTTTCAGCTCAAAAACCTAATTATATTTGACGCTTCATAATGTCTGATACAGCTGAAATGCTCGTCTAATCATCTTCTTCCATGACTAATGCAAACCGTCTTTTCATTGGTCCAATAAGTTTTGCTTAAACTCATAGTGCCAACTCCCACTTTCAAGACATCAAGCATACTTCTTACAATAAACATTACTTAATCAACAAACCAAAATCAAATTCTCTAAGAAGACAGTGCTTTATAAATTAAAATACCATTAATAATAAAATGGAAAAAAGAGCAGGATAAATGGAATCCTACATAATATTATCTGAATAAAAATTAAGTGACAAAATCCAACCCTAAAATCCTCATTAGGTTAAGCAGTCCAGTTTCTATGCAGACAGAGAATCTTTCCCATTGCAATCCAGTAATTATCTCTTGCATTGAACATGTTCACCCATCTCAGTAATCCCCTGATTAGATAGCAGATGCATGATTGTATATAAATACAGACACAGTTTTCAATACTAGCGATGGTCAAAAATGTATTCTTTTGTCGATTCCTATTAAATCCTTTAAATACGTTTTTTATTAAGTATGCAAGATTTTCAAAGGCTCGTCCTTTGATGTTCCTTGCATGTAGAAGATCCTAAAATTACTTTACTCACTTAACCCTATATATTAAATTAATTCATTCCAAATTAATTAGGGATTATTCTAGCCTCGGTGAGGGAATAATCTAAATTTTATTAAAGACAGGAGGTGAATATTTGCTTTACCTTCTTTACTGAAACCTCCAGCAGCAAAGAAACAGTTAACAGAACTTTTCAAAAACAACCAATCAGAACAAAGCAACAGTAGTATAAAACCCCTAAGCAGGCTCTTCCACTTCCTCTTTCTTTGATGAGGTCGAGCAGGAGAGCAAGGAAACCAATGAATCCACCTTGTAGCAGACACATCCAGAAAAACAATCATCAAGCCCAGAGAGAAAACAGATTACACTGCAAGAAAACAGAAAACATTGTGAAAGTAAACTGTCAAGGCAAGATGTCATATCCATACAATATCACTTTCACATCATAATACCTGATGAATAAACAAAGTCTACAGATCTTATGAAGACCTAGTATGTACCTAAGCTAAAAGGCATTGACGAAACATAATTACAACACAAACATGATGAATAAAACGCACACGGACAACCATCACTGAATATTAGAAATAACCTTTATTATGTAAAACCATGCATTCACAAAACATAACAATATCCCCAATTATTTATAATGGAATAAAACCCAGATCCAGGGAGGGAACGTAAAAAAAGGGGGGGAAATATTCGCCTCCTGTCTTTAATAAAATTTAGATTATTCCCTCACCGAGGCTAGAATAATCCCTAATTTTATGGCAGGACAGGAGGCTTCATATTTGCAATTTTAACGCCCAAATAGTAGAACCAGAAGCAATATGAGATAGAGGACTGCAATAAATGAGAATGGAAAAACTGATTCCCTAAACCAAGCAGCGGTGTAGAGAAAATGCATAAGGGACCCAACGGCTTCCAAAATTGTTGAGGTGACAGCACCCCAAACCAAAAGTGTCCCAGAGGAACTCAAGGTCAGTCAATGCGAGGATCCACCAAATCCAACGGGCGAACGAAGATGCAGAAACAGTCCAAAACGGCCGTACGCAGAAATAAACAGCTATCAATGAGTAGACGGACGAAAGAACCAGATCCTGGATCTACATGGTCGTGTACAATCTGTCAACAGAGCCGTGGCCTATCCAGAGAATAGGGGTACGACACAGAGGACGAATAAAAATGAAATATGTGTGGAGCAGAAGCCGATGTACTGAACGGCAAGAAGGAAGAAGACACGTCGATACCATGACGTCAGAACGCGATGAAATACAAGATGTACTGGGGGGAAACCGTAAGCGGAAAAAACTGGTGCTCCTTGGTCATCAGGTCATTCCTCAATGAAATGCAGAACACACGATACCACTAGACTTGAGGAATAGCGAGAGATAGGGCTCCCGTACGGTACACTCCTGTTGTTAGACTGCAGACCAAGAGATCCTTAGCAATGCCAGAATCTTGAGAAAACGCACATGAGTCGTCCACTAGCTGACATAGGACGTGAATGGCCCCATATGATCCTACCCTGAGAGGGCAACTCAGCCAGACAATGGGGACAGCCATGATAAGGACCGCCATTGAGACCCAAACACCAGTCGTGGCAGGCTACCCCTGTGGATCCCACGTGGGACATTAAGAGACAGGGAGTCGTAGATTACCTTCCCATGGCAAATTCCAGCAAAAAGGGGAAAGCACGCAGGACTCCTCCGAAGTGGTTTGGCCAGGCGAAACGACACTTCCAGGAATTCGGTCTGAAGCAAAACCCAAAGTATCCTGTAGGTAAATGGGATGCGTACGCCCCGAAGGAGACCAAGCTTGGAAAACTCGTCCCTCGCCGAGGGTCCGGCAGCCAGTTGGAGAACCGCTCCATATGGCGGTTCGCACCGAATGTAATCATGCCAGTACTTGAGACCCCGGAGGGTGAAGCAACCAATCAATGGGGTCTCTCCATAGTCGGATGAAGCCGTCCGCCACATGAGTGTCTCGTCCCGCGTACATTCTGTCACAAATGACGAATACTTGTCCAGAAGCTATAGATAGCGATCCTATGTGAGATTCGACTGCAGTCCGTAGTGGGCAACCGGTGAGAAGTCCATGCCGGAAGGTAGCGAGCAATACTGTGAATGTTGAACAAACCTGCAGGTAGTTCCATGCAGTTGGCGTAAAGGAGTCCCTCCTCCGGAGTCATCAATTAAGTTTTAGATGAGCTTCATCCGAAGGTCACACCAGGCTGAAGACCCGAGAAAGCGCCATGTTGGAGCGGCTGATAGTACCGGATCCTGGAGGTATGGATTCCATGGCGAATAGGCACGGTCAATTAACCAGGTTGGGCCCCTAAGTGTAACCCGCGGGTTGCGGAGCATATACCTGGTATTTTCCTTGAAGACGGACATCTTGGTCCTCGGGAGGCGGAGCACCGCCTGGACCGAATATTCCATGAAAGACTGGAAACTGGGTTGACTGGGAGTGAGTCAGATTCAATATGTCCATGTTGATGGCAAAATCCATGCGAGAGAACCAATCGTCAACGCCGAGCAGCTCTCAGAGGGGATGAGTGCCCTCCGTCTCGAAATGTGTCAACAGACGACATATGCACTGGGTGCATGTGGCGTGGGGATGGGGCGGGAGTCCACTCCACCGCACCCTTTGCCCAGCAGGACAACTGCGGAATGAGTCGGAATGGATGCCTCTTTTGGTCATGCGTATCGCTCATGGAACGGTCCAAGGTTTCGCAACCTTGATCTGGAGTCCGGGCACGGTCCGAGAGACCTCTGGGGCTAGTTAAGGGGGAACCCTATGAATAGAGACGTGTCAGCTCAGTTTGTACACGAGGGTAACTCCGGAGAGCAGACCCAGCACTTGGATGCTAAATCCATCAGTTTGATGTCCAGCTTGGACAGGGGCCGTTTTGCGGTTCTCAGGGGTAGAAACCAACTAGGCGATACCTATAAGTCATATCGGTCCATTCCCAGTGGGAATTTAGTCTTCTCCGCTTTCCAAGCGGTAACGCGCCGTTCGTCCCGAGGAAACATCTGTGTCCGCGTGTCACCGACATCCACTGGTTAGTCCCAGATAGAGTGCAAACCCTGTGTCAGGTGTTTGCGGTGTCCTTTCCGGACTCCGTCATGAAGACGGATCCTCTTGATGAATCCATCCGTTAGCCAACGAGTACCAGGGGTGCTTGGTGTAGCGTCTAGAATGGCCGGTGGAGTGTCCCCGTAGGGTACCGATGGTTTCTGGCAGTGAGGTCAGCGGGGCGGCAAGAGGACAGGCCAAGTGACCTTCTGGGTACAGGAGATTTGTCCTTCAGCCGTGATTGCACAACTGCCATAGAGGTAACATTGTCGGAATGATACCTGGTGCGGCCAGCTGGGGGTCACCCAACAAGCACAAGAGGGGGTCACCCAAGAGGGGGTCACCCAACAAGCACAAGCATACCATGCAGTATAGGCCAGCAGGGGAGGGGGTCACCCTCAGTCTGAACATAATCGGACACTGTAGGTACAGTAGTGCCGAAGTGGTTAGCCGTATAATAAAGTAACCAGACATTGCCGGTCCAGCAGTGTAGACGGCAGGAGGGGGTCACCCTCATATAACCAGAACTGGGCATTGCAGATCCAGCAGTGCTGTAGGTAAGAGGGGGGTCACCCTCAGTGTGGTATCATAGAGGTCTGTACACCCAGCAGTGTAGTCAGCGAGAGGAGGTCACCCTCATTATGGTTATAACGGGACCCTGTAGGTCCAGCAGAGTAGTCCACAGGAGGGGGTCACCCTCAGTATCTGCGTATTGCAGGGCACTGTAAGAACAGAAGCTCAATCAGTGGGAGGGGTACCCTCTTTTATGGGAATACCCGGATGCTGCAGATCCAGCAGTGCAGACTGCAGGAGGGGTACCCCCTCGGTATGATAATAGCAGGACATTGCCGGAGCATTAATATAGGGAGCAGGAGGGGGTCACCCTCAGCATTAATCTTACAGGACGCCGTAGAGCCAGCAGGGTACTCATAGGTAGCCATGTTGCCAGAGGGAGGGGGTCACCCAGCCCACAATGGTGTCACACGTCCATTATTATGGTCCAGTAGCGGGTAGAGCCCCAGAAATATGGATGGGGGGGTTCACCCCCCAATAATAACAGGTCTGAATGTGGGGCCAGTAGCCCCCCTGAGGGGTAGGAGGGTCCATATAGCGAGAAGCTGACTCACAGACCACTCAGGTATTATATTAGGATACACTTTTGAAGTGTATGTGTAGTGGAAAATCTAAGTCCCTTGCAGGAAGGGCAGCAAATCCTAGGTAGGGGAGCTAGGTGCTGAAAAACAGGCCATTTAATTTTTATGAGAAAAAGACTGAACCTTAGAGAAAGACTTGATTAGCATATAACACATGTGGCATAGTCTTGTTAAACAAAGATTTTGATTTGAGCAGTAACATGTCCCTTTAAATCTGAGATTCACATGTAATAGTAAAAAAGTGTGACAAGTCTACTGCTAAGATAGAGAACCTAGTCACATTGCATCAGATATCGTAAGCTGCAGTTGTGAGCGTGCCCTGGGACAGATCCTGCTATCCAGGATCTGTTACATATGCAGCATGTGAGACAGGCACAGTAAGTAGAGGGATAGCTGAAAAACTGGGCTATTTCCCCTGATATAGGGAGAGGGGAGGGTGGCCACATGGCCAGCAGGCCAGTTCTTGGGTCAGACCTGGCTGTTTGCAACGCACAGAGCCCATGTGGCTCTGAAAAATGGCCGCCGCAGCTCCAACAAAATGGCTGCCGTGGCTGCAAAAACAGAGCCAGCAGCCTACCGGCAGGATCGCGGCGCACTGCCACGGTGAAAAGCTGCTCAGCAAGCGCCAGGCCACGGGAGCAGGTGGGAATAAGCAGGGGCCGACTGGCCCAATCGATACTGGGAAATTTCCGGGTGGGCCGCGGGCACCTGGGGTCGGGCCGACAGCTCCTGTGATCCCGCAGCTTGGTGAGCTGTGCGTCGCAATATAAAGCCCCATGGGAGCCAGGGGAGCCAGGGGAGCCAGGGGAGCCAGGCGTCGGCTCACACATGGTCACCGGATCATTTAATAAAAAATTAAGATTTATGGGCGGGGCGGAGCTTATCAGCAGCTGGGGCGGGGCTTAGCGTGCGGCGGGGCGGGGCTTACTGTGTGGCCCTGCTTCCCCAACAACAAGCCTCCAGGAGCTCCAAGCAGGAGGGAAGAAGGAGGTCAGTGTGTCTGTGTGAGTGTGTGACTGTGTGTGTGTGTGACTGTGTGTGTGTGTGACTGTCTGTGAGTGTGTGACTGTCTGTGACTGTCTGTGACTGTGTGTGTGTGACTGACTGACTGTGTGTGACTGTGACTGTCTGTGTGTGTGTGTGACTGACTGTGTGTGTGTGACTGTGACTGTGTGTGTGTGACTGTGTGTGTGTGACTGTGACTGTCTGTGTGTGTGACTGTGACTGTCTGTGAGTGTGTGACTGTGTGTGACTGTGTGTGTGTGTGACTGTCTGTGAGTGTGTGACTGTCTGTGACTGTCTGTGACTGTGTGTGTGTGACTGACTGACTGTGTGACTGTGACTGTGACTGTCTGTGTGTGTGTGTGACTGTCT